AAAAGGCACATGTAGAGGGAGAAGGACAAAGACGATGTCTTTCTGTGGAGCTGAGGGGAGGAGAGGAGGGTGAATGTTGGGGTTTTTAGATGTTGGTGTTGTTTTCAAAGTGACCTCTCGGCACCTGCAGAGGGATGTTTGATTCTCTCATGGCTGTTTGATGCTGTTTGAAGTCTGGCTGCTGCACTTTCTGCTGAGTGATTAGAAAGATTGTTTGATGAAACGATATATGGGAGGGGTTGAGGGGGGAAAAAGCACACTCCTTTTTCAAACATTTACATTTATTACACTGGTCTCTCTCTCTCCCTCCTTACACCAATGACCGCTCCTCGCTCAGCTGTTTCTGCGCGATCAAAGTGAGTTAAAAAACAAACCTGATGAAAAAATCTGAACTCTCAGTGAAACACTTTGAGAAGTCTTTGAAGAACATGAGGTACCTAACGAACCGTGGCTTCAACATCAGCCAGCTCAAAGCTAATTAATGCTAGCACCAGCTAATTGAGCAATGCGGCATAGACTGGCGCCCAGACAACATTGTCACAGGAAGACCCAGAACAAAACTTTCGTGTGTTTGTGTTGCTAGAGGAAACATCCTGGTGCTCCAGCTGTGATACTTTGATTTGAGTCATGGTTTGGACTGTGTTTGTGACTCCCACTCCTGCAGCATTGTTGGTAGAAACACAGGAGTGCAGTGGCCATGGTGCAGGATTGCTTGCCTTTCAGAGAAATCCAATTAGTGCCGAAATTTTTCCTAACCCTGACCAATTTTGGCATCAGATATTGTGAAAATTTCATCATGCAGAAACATCACTGGGGACATAAACACACAATCGAACACAGATCCTAGATCTGCCTGGTCAGAGAGATCAGTTATCATTACGTGGGCCTGACTCACTTCAGCTGAATTGGTTGTAAACTGGTTATTACTGCTTACAAAAGTTGACAGTCTGCACTTCATGGTGAGGAAAATCCACAACAATGCAGAGAGCTACATGTAGAGTGTTTATAGGATCTAGACCGAGGACTTTTTGGTGAATTAAGAGGTCTGTGGACAAGAAAAGGAGCCTACCTCTCAGCTGGTTGATTACCCCTGTAAATAAACTCCTAATGAGTTCATGGCCTCAATATCCAGTTTTAAATCCTCTTCAATGCAACAAACGTTCATTTGGTAAATGTTGGTCCCATTAAGAGTCAAATGGATGACTGTGTATGATTCCCGACTGGTCTAGTTCATCTCTATAGTTCTCAGTTCTCAGCATGGACTCAGCCAAATTCTGCTAAAAGAGATTTGTTATAACAGGGACTGTTACCTGATCAATAAGTACTGATCTATTTATCTGATTGTGATGGGAGTAGCTTATATTTGTGCTTGCCATGCCCCATCATTGACAGATCACTGAGTCCAGTAACGCAAGTATGAAGATATGATACTTAAAGAAACAGTACTACACAGTATAATTCACCATGATACTAGATGATACTATAGGATACGACATGATCCAGAACAAGTAGATTTATGATATGGAACAATACATGATATATTAGGGCTGAAACGATTCCTAGTGTATCTCATTTACAAAAATGATTAATTTTCTCTGCCTTGGGTACTCATTTATAAACTTAAATTGTCACTGTTGCACACAGATTATTTTTAAGGTGACTCAACGTCACCACGATAGGAGGAGGAGTAGGCGTGGTGGTTCTGCAGAGCGGAAGAAATGAATGATGAGAGAGGCTTTTCTTCTACAGAGCTCCAATAACTCATTAGCAATTCACCTCTAATTTGTAGGCGGAGACAGCGCTGCTCTGCACACTCCTCTTCAAGCTAGCTTACTGCCTAACACTGCCGGTATAGTAGAAGAGGTAGGTAACATAGGAGCTATTCATTCCGGACACTGTCTTTAGGGACATGATAATATCATAATTAGCTTTCTAATGAGCATTGTAATCTGCTAATGCACAGACTTGTTCCGCGATTCCCCTCTACTTCTCTGAGTCTGGCCTGCATAGCGGGGCTCTGGGGTTGGAGGTTGGATTTGTGATGTAAAAAATCTCACTCTATCTGAGTCTGCCGTTTGAGTCCAATTACTCAAGTAATTGATGAAATATTCGGTAGAATACTCGATTACAAAAATATTCGATAGCTGCACCCCTAGATATAATATTCTATACACGATTGATACAATTCAATACAATATGTACGATTTTTGTACAACGATGTGATACTATGAAATTATGTCGGACTGCATGTCGTCTTTTACCTTCCGATTCACATGTTGAAATGAATCATTGTTGTTTGTTACTCTGGGGTCTGTCTAAGTGTACTCTGTGATATTGCAAAGCAGGCAGACGCACACAGCACACAGGGCTGTCCTAAAGGTAAACATGAGATTCAGACAGGTAACTCTTTGCATTGGTCAGAAACAAACCTCGAGACATTAACCAGTTAACCTTCAGGAGAGCAAACTGTTACGATCAAACTGCATGTTTATTGTGTTCTTGGATATTCTTGGCCAAACAAGTAGAAGCGTAGCGTGCAGCAAGTCTGAAATGACTCTGACCCTGATGCTGTGCTCTTACAGTTACCATAGTAACCAACATAAACACACAGTATATAAAGAAACAGCCAGTGCAGAAAAGAGCCAGAGCAGCTGCAAGTGGCAGTCCCAGCGATGAGAAGGAGGAATTCACCTGATTCAACCTGCTGGAGTAAAACCTCTGAGCTAAAGATGTTGGATCAGATGGAGCAGGTGAGTAACAGAAGACCATCACCTTGTCGATAAGTACAATCTCTCCAGCTGCAACTGTGAGCAGCCAAGTCACTGTTTCTTCTGGTTACTGGGTTTCCCCTGAACCGCCTCAGGGTTCAGTCGGGGGCCGGCTGGGACCACCTTTTTAAGTCAATCTTGAGTCTGAGTACATTTTTACATCTGCTAAGGAGGAGAGCGACTCATAACTTTGTACATTTCCCAACAATCTAGGCATGGAAGACAGTTTCAGACCAAAACAGCTACAGTCATTATTCAGACAAAGAGGTCAGTGTTAAAGAGATTAAATGGTTCGTTCCAGGTGATTTGACAAAAAGAGCAGGTAGATGCATACTCTAAACACAACCCTTTAAGTGTTGGCATTTTCTTTTCTTGGCAAACAGAGCATCCAAAAGGGCACACGAAGCACATTAGAGGCATTCAGTCATAACCACACCCTGTTAGAGGAGAATCAACAGTAAGAAGAGACGAATTTATGAACTGACGCTTCATAACTTCTGTAAAGTGCAGCCAACACTGCTGAAAACATCTTCAATACCAACAGAGAGAGACTGTTTCTATGAATCCACTCTCAGAGCTTCACAGAGGATCAAAACACAACTTCAAACACACACACACATACACGTGGCGGTGCGACCTCTCACCGCTGATGCAGAGACTGAAGCGGCAGAGTTCGTCACACAGAGTGTCCGGGCTCTCCAGCTCTCCTGGTCCTCCACCCCCTCTTCCTCCTCCTCCTTCCCTCCTCTTCTTCCTCGGTGACATCCTCTTCACCATCTTCATCACTCGCTCTACTTTGTCCATCCTGGATGTTTGACCAAGCTGCACCAGTCAGCTGTAGATTCAGCAGACCTTCTTTTTCTTTAGGTCTCCTCCTTTCCTTTCGTAACCTTCCTCTTTTGTAAACCTTGACAACTTTTGCCGTCTACCTCACTTGCTTTTCGTCTCCCTCTCTTTCTCTTGCCGTTCTGGGAGAGAGACTCCCCTCTCTTGCTTTCCTAAAATCCCTCCCCGATTCCACACCCCCTTCTCTCTGCTTCCTCTCCCCAGTCTGCTCCTCTTCCTCTGCCTTTACAATACAGCACCTAATAACTCAGGTCCAGCCCCTCAAACACCCTCAACCCCCTCTGTCTCCCTCTTCTCCTCTTTTCTCTTCAGCGCACCGAAAATCTGAGAAGAGAGAGACACTGAGGGGAGAGGGAGGAAAGGGAGGAAGGGAGAGGCAGGCACATTTGAGTTCTTTCTCCCCTCCCTCCCTCCCTCTCTTTCTCTCTCTTGCTATGTCTATCTTTGAGTGCACCCCCACCTCCGAACCTCCAACATCAAACCTCTGAAACCCTCAGCTGAGACTTCCAGGATGAGAACAGGATGAAAGATGATTCTTTATTTTCTTAAAACACAGCATGGTGCTTCTCTGCTATTGTCTTCATCTGTTCATTATTTTCATAAAGAGACACCAGAAAAAAGCTGTTAGGGTTTGACATATTGGGCAAGAGTTATCTTAAAGCTCAGTTAAAGCTGCAGTCCCTCAGCAGGCTACAACAAAAGCATCCGAACAGATGCTCAGAACAGAAGACTGGATGACATGAAAGATATAGTGCAAAGCTGCAGAGTTATACATCACAAACATACAAGGTGATTTCCAGTTCTTCGTTGAAAGGGTAACTGGACTTACTTGTTAAAAGAGAGTTACATTTTGATTTATCAGACCTCAGGACAGTCCACAGACAAGTGATAGTAATGTGATGACTCCAACTACAGAGTCCTGATGCTCCTAAACCTGGACATATTGTTCAGCATTAATGGCGCCTTCACAGATGTGGACTCTGATGATCCCCAGACCATCAAGGATGCTAGATGTGCACCTCTTCCCCTTTTAGAGTCCATGAGATCCAAAATGAATGTCAAATTTTAATTAACAGACCACAGGACTGTCTTTCTCTTCATTTCTATCCATCTCAAACCGGCTCAGAGAAGTTGAATGCAGTGCTGGATCATGTTTTTGTGACTCTGACCCTTGAAATCAACTCCTGGAGCAGGAATCAAAAGTTCAAGTCTGGAGGTCAATCAGGGACCACATCCAAGATGAAAAAAGATTATCAAAAACCACACCCCCACTGGTCAAAGTTTCCCAGATTTAGACCAAATACAAACAAGAACAATTCTAGTCTATGTGGTGAGACACCTCCTCATCTTGTTTTATTTTGGCTGGACTTCCTGTGTTTCCTTGTTTGCCTGGTCTGGCTTTACTTACTTCCAGAGCTTCCTCCCCTCCCCCGGCGCTGAGGCTGAGTGAGACTACACACTTGCTCCACATCTCCAATCAAGGCACTTTAAGAAGCCTGCAGCCCTCAGTCTCAGCGCCTGAGTATTGTCTACCCTTCCTAGAGGTAAAGACGCGTCTCCAAGCCAAAACCTTGTTTGTATCAGTACCAGAACTTTGCTCCTCGTGACTCTTTTCATGTTCTATAACTCCCGTCTCCTCTGGTTTTTCCTGCAGTGTCTCCAGCCCACACGACAGCCAGCCAACCAGCCAACCGGACATCCTCGTTTGCATTTTCAACCTTTTGTTCAACATTAAAACTACACCTTAAGTTGATCTCTGTCTCTGTGTCTGCTTCTGGGTCCTCACTACGAACCTGCCTCACAACAGTCTAGATGGTTCTGTGCAAAAAGGACAGGAGACATGAGGAGAGAAGAGTGAAATAACTTTTCTAATCCGGATGCATTTTTATCTCTGCAGGTTAGAGTTTTAAACCTACACTACTGGCCAAAAGTTTGGAAGCAAGGCAATAACTGGCCGAACAGTTGGGAGTAACTTCAAGTTTTTGTTCACATTCCTTTTTTTTTTTTTTTTAAATCCAGCATGAGTTTTATGTATTTTGGGATGTATTTACTCCATGATCAGATGTTGCTTTCATGGAAATGCACCATTTTACTCAACTAACCTTTAGATGTACATTGATGTTAACAGACAATTGCTAAATATATGTCAGCAAAAGAAAATAAGGGCTTAGTTTTAGGGTTGAAAACATTTGCAAGAGTCACAACTTCAGTGCAAAAGCAAAAAAATCAGTTGGATTATTCACTTCAACTTTTTGGCTTTTGGGAGCCTGCATACAAAAATCATTATAAATCTCAACTGCGTTCAAACTACCGCAAAAATGGCTACAAAGAAGCAACTGAGTAAAGAAACAAAAGTACAGATTTGTCTATTGAGTAAAGAAGGATACATAGAAACAGAAATTACAAAACACCTAAAGGTGTTTAACAAAGGAGTCCACTACACTCTTTATAGACTAGAGGAACCTGGAAGTTATGATTATAGAAAAAGACCTGGATGAAAGAGAGTTACAACAAAAGCAGAGGATAAACATAGCATTGTCCCCAGTAAGAGAGATCGGCGAAAGACAGCACCACAAATAAGGGAGGAAATCAACATGACAAGGCCAAAACCCATATCTCTGACAACCGTGAAGTGACATTTTAGAAAGGCTGGTCTGAAGGGTTGTGTATCTGCAAAAAAACACTACTTCGTCCACAGAACAAGAAAAAGAGATATGAGTGGGCAAAAGCTCACAAAAATTGGACTTATGATGACTAGAAACAAGTTTGCACTGTTTGGTTCAAAACGCAGAGTCTATGTCCGCAGACAAACTGGTGAACATCTGAAAGCACCATGTTTTACACCCACAATTCAGCATGGAGGTGGTAGTTCCATGGTATGGGGATATTTTGCAGGTGATGGAGTTGGAGATTTGTTTGAAGTAAAGGGTATCATGAAGGAACAGTACCACTCCATCCTCCAGCACCATGCTGTTCCATCTGGACTCAGACTTGTGGCTCATAAGTTTGTTTTGCAGCAAGACAATGACCCTAAGCACTCTGCCAAGCTCTGTCAGGATTACCTAGAAAAAACAGAAGAGGAAGGTTTTCTTCAAAAGATGGTTTGGCCCCCTCAGTCTCCAGACCTTTCTCCAATTGAGCTTGTGCGGGATGAATTGGATCGGTTGGTCAGAAAAACACGTCCCACGAATCAGCAGTCTCATTTTAATGAACTTAAGAAAGCTTGGAATGCAATCCCTGGAACATACCGTAAAAAACTTGTCAGAGGAGGTTACTTTAAAGAAAGCAAAGTGTAAGCAACAATAACTCAAATACCTAAGAATTATAGTCAAAATGTCTTCTGATGAGTTACTCTTTACACAATAGTCATGTTTATTGTGTTGCAAATTATATATATGAAAGTATGATCTTTTTTTGATGATCTGTCTGTTTTGTCTGATCTTGCCTCCAAACCTTTGGCCTGTAGTGTACATCTGTGGATGCAGCAACAAACTGTGATAAAAAATAAAAAAAATTTGAGGAGGGGTTTTTGAGCCCACAAGTTCTACTGCAGATTTGGATTCATCATGACTCCAAATTATTGATGGTTTTACCCTTAAGCAGTGTGCAATTATCCCAAACACTGCAAGATAATTGGGCTAATACTGGGCTCCACCAAAGTCAGCGAAGGCCCCATTACCCTGCTGGATGATCCTGCTGTGTGAAGTGAGTCAAGAGTGATTTTCTTCTTTTGTAATCTGTGAAGGAGACAACTGGACATCATACTTAGTCATATATATTAAACATGCTCAATACTGTTGTGAGGGAAACCCTACGGACGGCCAATGAAGCACTCTGTGGACTGTCACATCAAAACGTGAGCATTTATACAATCTGTCCTGTTTCTTTCTTTCTTTTCTGTTCTCCAACATGCCCTTTGTAACACCTCTGCCTTCAATCCATTGGTCTTTCTTCACCCCTCCATAATATCTGACCCTCTTACTCTTTATTTTAACATCCCCCCTCCTCTTTTCTCTCTCCTTTGTCTTTCTCTCCTCCATCCATCCTTTGTCCTCCTCTCATCTGCTCTTTAAATCTGTGTTTCTTGTCTCTCCATAATAAGCTCATCATCTCCTCTGGAGAAGAGGTCCAACACACACAGACACATGCGCACACTTGTGGATACACACACTCTGTTTGAGCAGGTCGGCAGGACAACACACACACACACACACACACACTTATGCTAAGCTTTTCCTTACACACAAAATGACACACAGTCACACATTAAAGTCCACCCTGTATTAAACCCGCTCAGCCTTTTTGCCCTAGCACACGCACACACACACACACACACACACACAGAGTCCCTCTATAGCTATAATTACTGACCTGAAACGATCCATACAGGCTCTATAATCCCACAGTCAAGTTTCCAGCCTCTGAAAAGTACGACTCCTGAAGAATTGATTGCTGGCAGGAAATTAAAAGTCGACCCATGAAGATTATTGAGAGTTTGTCGAGCCGGCTGCTTATGAAAGCACTCCAGAGGAACCTATTATGTGGAGGTTTCTGTATGTTATGTGAAATACATCAAGCTTTGAAATACAAACTGTTTTGAGACTGAGATTTAATCGAGGTCAGCGAAGAAACTCAGAGAGAATTTCGAGGAGTTATGCTGCAGGTGGGACTCTGACTTCTCAGCTACAACCATGCAAATACCACACATGCAGCAAAATCTGGGCATGCTGCACATCTCAGCTACTTCACTGTGAATCTGAGGAGTCTAACCCAACACTCCACTAGGTGTATTAACTTCATACTTGAAATGCATGATTTTTACATCATGGGAGATCAAACTTGTTTATCCCAGAGCTGAGAAGCAGAAAGTTATTAAAGGCTTCTCAGATGTGCTGTGTTTCATGGAGTTGGACTGCACTCCTACTTCAAATCAAAACCAACTTCTAAATTTGCTCTAGAGTGTTTTCAAAATAGTTCACTGCTTAGTTTACCTTTCGGTGCTCACATTGCAGTATTATTGTAAAGCAGACTGATGGCTGTAAAAGGGCAACAACCTGAACAATCCCTCTGCAACTGCAAAAACAGAGAAATTTGCTGAAATTCCATAAATTATGCAGAACTTAAAATGTACAAAAGTAGAATCAGCTGCAAATTAAGACAAAAGCAGCACTTTTTAACAAGGTTAGGGGGGCGCTGAGTGACACAGCTTTATTAACGATGGGACGGAGAAGGCGAGAGTCACTGAACTTTACATGATGGGACATCAGGTGGTAATATCAAAATTAGGGCAGCAGAAAGAGTCTGAACTGACGATCGCTTTACTGAAGACTGTGAGGACGTCTGGAGTAAAAGTCTAGCCCTGTGCATCTACTTCATCTACTCATCTACTTGTACTCACCTAAGCCTGCAAGTGCGGGGGGGGGGCACCACTGCACTACGGCATGAAAAGCCAGCTCCTTGTCCTAATGAATATTCAGCAAGACAAAAATAGAAAAGTTGACCCAGGAAAAAAGAAAAAAAATCTGCAACCTTTAACTAGATGCTGAAACTACATCTTTGCATTTTCCTGCAAAGCAACCTCTCATAAATAAAGAAAGAGTCCATGGATGTAAATCGGAGGCATCTACACCAACACATGGATCAGAGATGGAAGTTTATAGGACCGTTTGCACAATAGAAAACAGCGGATGGGTTTTGTCTAACTTTAAGATCTCTGTAATGGTGCTGACTGAACTTGGAGGAAACTTAAATGTACAGAGACTGGATCAATGAAGCTGGAGGGTGGTGGCTGTTATATCTGTTTCTACAAACCCCTCAACAATCTCTCTGCAGGAACTGAGCTCAGAGAGTGAAAAGGAGGTCGGCAGCGGCAGCCTGTCAGATATCCAGAGCAGTAAAACTACTGTCCTCAGCTCACAAAAGAACAACTTTCAAAGTATTATAGACTCTGCAGGAGTCAGAGAGACAGAAATAGACTCCGTTGAGCATTCAGCTCTGTCAGCGGACTCTTAAACCCTAAAACCGGTTGTTTCTCCCTGACTGCTGCTGCTGCAGCCTGTTGAGAGGAAATTACAGCTGAGCAGCATCCTGGCTGTTCTTCATGTACTGATTACAGGCCTGTTTGATTCTGCGTTGTCGGCTTCGTTTTGTATAATTGTTGCTCACACATTTGCTTATGATTGGCAGTTTCTGTGAGGACAAATAATCTGATCCGTCTATGGTACTGCTGCAAAGCAATTATGAACAACATTTTGAGTAAGTAACTGGGAAATGGTACAAAACCACTCCAATTTTTGAAGGCCATCAGTTTGAGCGCTGCGTCACTTTCTTTCAGTGTCATTACCACAACTGTAAAGCCACAAAATACATCATTCATTACGCCACTATGACATCTTGTTTAGACTCTTCACTTGTGCTTCACAGACTGACAGGCGGTTCTGGTCTAAGGAGGATTGTGCTGGTTTCAGTTAAAGTAACTCTTTGACAGGAAACATTAACATTAGCAGTCTCTGCTAAATTTATGTAAATGTTGCGATCAGTTTTGGGAGGTGCACTGGTGGAAAAAAGGCAAAAATTAAGAAGATCAAAAGCTTTTAACTAAGTCCACAATATGCAGTTTTTACTTATGTACCAGCCACTAATGTGAAACACGGAAGAGCATTAGCTTCGACTAACATTTGGTCAATTTGATGAGACCTGCAACACCCCCCTCTGCTGGTCACTGTTGTCT